TTTTTCATAACTTGTCAGCTGTCTTTTAATAGGTGATACTTCTTGTTTCTTGAAACGTATTAGAGCTGGGAGAATCGCCCATGCCATCAAAAAACGTTATTCCAGCTCTATGATGTTGCGATCCACATCAAAGCCTTTTCGTTTCTTGGCAGATTGTCGCTGTTTTGATTCAATGTCCCTGTTTACTTCAGCTCCCATCATCTCATTCAAATAAGATGAATCCATCGGATCATAAAGTTTTTTCTTGTTTGTTTTTCCAAGACTTGGATAAATCAGTGCCAATTGACTTTTCTTGGCCTCGAGTTTGGGCAAGTATTTGTTATTTTCTGTTTTATCCAAGTTAACCACGGAAGCATTTTCTTCCAGAACAATGTGATTGGAGTCCTCAGGTTTTTGATGTTTAGCTATAGAACTTTTCGCATCGTGATCACTTTGATTTGCGGTGTTAGTATGCACTTCAACTTGTTCAATACATATTTTGTCTTTGTCTTTCTCGTATTCAAAACCACTGCTGGCCTTGGAACTCAACGGTTTCTTCTCTAGAATAGGTTTGTCTAAAACTATCTCTCTATTAAGTAATTGCCTAATACGACTACTTCTTCTGGTGGGAGCAGACTTGGCTCTTTTGTATTTTTGATTTCCCCCCTAACCCCCTCAAGTGTCTGGGAAATTCATAGTTTTTGGACAAAAAAACACAAATTTGCTCGAGCCCGATGGAAAATTCGAAGCGGAACACTTTGACATGTTGGCTGCCATGTGTATCAACCGTGCTACACACACTCATATTTACCACAGGCCGTGTGTTGCACATTGGCAATATAAGCAGCACATATTTTAAATTAGCATAACTTCTGTTAGCTTGCATTCAATGGTTTGTTTTTTGAGTGGTGGCCTACCAATAATATAAGCCTCAACTTTCTGTAATTGGTTCGCGGATTGTGTTATTATGGGTTACTGCTGTAGTGGAGCGTCAACAGGGACGCCGAAAAACCGCAATAAAATATTCCAAATTTGTGATCACATATTGCGACAAATGTAATAAAGCTCTTTGCTTACCGTGTTCCACTAAGGCGCACCAAAACAAACATGTTATTATATTCTTTTACATTGATCACCGGTGCTACATATGGCACATAATCTATCCATATTATTTGTATGCCATGTGTATCACCAGTGTAAGACAGTGTGTTTCTTTGAAGAACTTTTTTATTTATTTTTTTTTGTGTTTTTTTATTACTTTCACAATAGAAAATATATCTAAACAATACTTTGAGGTATCTACCTCCCTTATGGTGGCGGCCAACGTGTTAAGGAACTCTTAAATCTACTTTTGCCAATTGAAAAGTCCCGGAAAACTGTAAATTAAAAAAAAAAAAAACCGGCAGAAAAAACAAAAGCGCGTTGCCTTTTTTCCTGAAAACGGTCGCCTGTCAATTCCGCAACCCACTGAACATGCAATGTTACGAAAGCCTAATGCAATATTACTCTGATATGCTCTGATCTTAGTTTCGCAACATTACAATGTAATATTGAATTATTTTTGACACAACATTACGTTAATAAATTACAAAATGGAATATCCTTGAAATTTTAACGCATATTAGAAATTATAACTTGTACGCAAATTAACATTGTAAATATGCATTTAAATTGAACTGGTATAATTTTTGCAATGTTATAATAACTACCAAATGTAAACTTGCTGCAAAATTGGAAATATAACTTATAGGTAAGGTTACATCGCAAAGATGCCTTAAAGTTGTGTTAATGTTATAATTTAATATTGAATGTAAACTTGCTGCAATATAGCAGAAATAATACATTGGAAAATCGAAAGCTTTGCCGCCGTTAATAACGATCGGAACGACATCGGGGATACGAACTAAACCGAAAGCAAATCGACGCCATCAAGTCGCTGTTTGTCGTTTGAGTTGAGTGCTGTGTCTGCTTGTTGAATGTTGTGCCTGTGATAAAGCGAATCTCGGCTAAATTTTTGGTGTTTGTGTTGGGATTATGTATTGGATCGGTTCAGGTAGTGCTTTGCTTTTTGGTTATTTTTATTGTTCAGTTTTTATTTTAGAACCTGTGGAAATGAAATAAATATACAGCGATTACAATGGATGAGGATTCAAATAAGGTGAGTAAGGTTTGCATAGTCAATAAATACTTTTTACAAAAATACTGCGGAATGGGGCCCCTTTTTTGTAAACCGTAACCTCTTTTTTTCATACCTACAAATCCCGTATTATTATTATATTACTTATTATGATTTTACGATAATATTTTAGTTAGGATCAAAAATATCGTGAACCGTTTGGTAGGTAATGTCCAGAAAGAAAGTGGCTACGACGGGGAATAATTATTATAATGAAAATACAGAACTACTCCCTGATTTTGTTTTTGTTTCAGGTGACAATATAAGTAGCAGCTGTGGTAGCAGCCAGTACCTACTTCGTCCTGTGTGTCAACCAATCTAAAATTTCGCTTTTTGTTTCTGTTTAGAATTTTTATTTATTTGGCTTTGAGATATTACTTTTTACGTTTTGTTTTTCACCCAAGTATATTTTTTTATTGTGAGTATTATAGATATACATAATATACCTACCAACCTTTTTATTTTGTTTTCCAAAAACTTGTACTTTTATTCATAATAAAATATCTACCTAATATATGATTATGGGTTTCAGGCACAAATTTTAACAGCTTGTTTTTAGAACAAGCTGTTAGAGTTTATGCACCGCAACTCAAATCTCTCTGTATAGGTACATAGCATTTACAGTTGCAAAATTACTTTTTTATTGCAGTAAAGTTGCGAACCCAATATATTTGTAATAAAAATGCAATATTGCAGTAAACTTACTAATAAATTGCAAGTAACCCTAAGGTATATTTGAATTTGTAACCTTACACTCGTAAGTTTGCTGAAGTTTTGATCTAATATTCCAGTAATATTGCTGAAGGGTTATCATTTATAAACCTTGTATTTGTAATATTACCCTAAGGTTGTTTCAGTACTTGCCGCAATAATGCGTCAACATTACAGTAAACTTCAATATAACCTTACAAGTTTGCAGTGTAATGTTACCTCATTATTACTGTAATCTTATTTTGTTCAGTGGGAACTTTCCATGATCACATCAAAAATCACAGAATCATTAAAACCTATTATCAATGCATGGAATGTGGTGAATGAATTGTAGTGAAATCATCATTAATAAAGCATTTACTGCACTATCACCACATTGTCAATTTGGAGACATCTTCATCGATGAAGATATGCTTTTTATTTTTGACGTTGTCTTTGCATGGGTGCAACCTGGAGAGGTATAAAACTTGTCAAACACCCACATGAATATGCATCAAAGCCGAAACTACTGCAACACTTGCATCTGTGAGGATCACATGTCCTGGTAGACACTGAGGTGAAGTTGTCGTTTCAGAAGTTACTTTTGGATTGCAGTTTCGACAAGTCCATGTGCAGTCTCTACACCTTTGCAGTAATTGTGATTCGTGAAAATGCCTTTAATGTTTGGTAGGAGTGTGAGCAACATTGTCAGACTCATGAAAATCGTTGGGTATTTTGACAAGTTTTATACCTGTCCAGGTTGCACCCAAGATGCAAAGACAACGTCAAAAATAAAAAGCATACCTATTGAGAATCCTAGTAATAATTTATGTCGTTATATTCACATCTATATGTGCAAATTTAGCAAAGGCTATTTCTAGTCACTGGAAACTATGAGTAACCATGCAAGAAACTGTAATACCCACAAACATGGTTTACCAGACCGAGTCCGTGTGAATCCTTCCTTCTACCCTTTCTGGGTCCAAATATGCATCAGGTAAATGCAAAAGATTTTCTACAAAAATCAACATCCCAAATACTAAACCCATCATTTATTGAAAAAAATGCATTTCAAACCCTAACCAAAATTCTACCTCTAACTGGTTCTGCGCCCTTTTTAAATCCCTCATAGATCTGAATGATAAAGAGATACATAAGATAAAATGTAAATTTTCATCACCTCACTGTATTAGAGAAACTGGATATGACGAAAATACTTGAACAAATGCAGAATGATGAAAATCTCACCAGAAAACGACTGCGATTTATCAAATCCAAAAAGCCTGAAATCATCCACGACCTAACAGCAGAAGAAGCCATCCAGTTCGATAGAATCTACAATTGTCATTTATGCAGGCGAATACAAAGATCCCACACTTGAAATTCTCCATGATCACATCAAAAATCATAGAACCATTAAAACTTATTACCGATGCATGGAATGTGGTGAATAAACTGTAATGAAACAATTTGGAGACATTTTCAGGAGAATTATTGTTTCGATGAAGAGGCTGTAAGTGAGTAAAAGTGTCTACTATCTAGCCAATAATGTCCAAGTAAATCAACATGAAGTGTGTTTCGAGCAATTCAACAATGCCGAAGAACATAAGCATTCTAAGATTCATGAGATGGCTTGTTTGATGAAGAGTTCCGTTTACAATAGTTTTGTCTATGAAAATATAATAGTCTGATGATTTTGATACAAGGGGAAGTCTTTTTTGACAGAGTTAACACTGTTAATCACCTTCTTCTTTTTTGAACATATTTTTTCCACTTTTCTTAAAGCTTGCAGTTCAGATTTTGAAATGTTTCACACTCTTCAAAAAAAAAAAACATTTAAATCTGATGTACCTATTAAGTAATCTTACCTAAAAATGTTTTTGTTCTAAAAGAAAAAAAAAAAAAAGAAAATTGTGGAAATCTAGAAACTTTTTTCTTTCCTTTCAAAAAAAAAAATAAAATGTTTTCGTTACAACTATTGTTATTATTTTAACTTTTATTCACTTTTTTAAAGAAAATTTAATTTTTTTTGCATATGCATTTTTGTTTAGTAATTGTGATCGTAATCGTGCGATTATTCAACTGGATAATAGTAACCGTAATCGTATAACTTTAATCGTTTCATCACTAATGAAAATATAAAATATGACAGCGTTCAATTTCTGTTTTTCTTAAACTTCCTGTCCGTTCGATTAACATTAAATTTTTCCTTCTTCTGTTTAAGTTCACCAAATGTTTTCTTTTTGCTGTCTTTCTTCACTTTTTTGTTAAGTTTGACACCTACCTTTTTTGGTACTTCGTCCCAGTTTACTTTATTTGTTGTAATATCCGTTTTTTTGGATTTATTTTTCTTATTTTTTGAGGTTGTAGGTTTTTCAATGTCGTCAGTCTTGTTAGTTTCATTGCCATTCAAATTTTTTCCCTTTTTTCCTTTTTCTTTACTACCTACTTGGTTTTTGTGAGACTTCTCTTTATTCGAGTTTTTTCCTTTTTTATCATTGCCTTGTTGGTTTTGCTTGCTTTTCTTATTCTGTTTCTCATTGACTTCCTCCTCTTCATTTAAAATATCTGAAAACACAAATAAATCAAAATACATAGGCATATCTGAAATTTCTATATCTATAGAAACCCAGTTTTACCTTCATTAAAATTGAAATCTTCTACAACTTCAGAATCATCGCTCGTTGGTATGACATTAGAGAACTTTTTCAATTTGGCAACAAAGAAACCGTCCAAGTTATGCTCGTGAGGATAAAATCTTCGAGTAAGGTTCATTGTTGGATGGAATCTGGAAAGAAATAATTATAACTCAATTATCGAAATAAAATAAAACATAAGAACTTACCTTAAATGCCTGTATTTTGTAAATCCTGCTGTACCAAATCCTAAACCAGTATCCACCAATTTAACATTACGCTTTTTCAGAGCAAAATCTATGACCCATTCGTTTTCTTCTGGTAATACTGAACAGGTGGAATAGACAATGTAACCTATTATAGATAAATTGAAGCCTCGGTTAAAGCAAATATTTGTTTTATTTTTTATATACTAACCTCCAGTAGATGATTTGGCATGAACAGAATCAATAGCAGCCAATAATAGCTGTCTTTGTAAATTATAACATCTTTGAATATCAATTTCATCTTTACTAGTCTTGACACTTTGGTCTTTGGCAACTACTCCAGTACCTAAACAAAATGTTCAATTTTCATCCTAATGTCGACTTATACAGTGACAGACTTACCAGTACAAGGCGCATCCAATAAAACTCTATCAAAAAAAACCTTCATCAAACTTGGAAATTTCCTGCCATCCATACAAGTTATAACACTGTTCATTACTCCTAATCTGTGGAAGTTCCCTACCACCGCCTTGATGCGATCCTTATTTAAATCATTAGCGAATAGCACCCCAGTATTTTTCATGATAGCAGCAATATGGGAAGCTTTACCTCCAGGAGCAGCAGACATATCCAAAACTTTTTCGTTTTCTTGTGGAGCCAAAGCCATTACTGGTAAAAAACTGGATGCTCCTTGGATAATGTAATGTCCTGCAAGGTATTCTGGGGTTGCACCCATGGGAACTACAGCAGAATATACTACTAAACCAACCTAGAAGGAAAAGAAAATTTAAATAAAAATAACCTCTGAATCAATTTGGATGCTTTTTGTTCTAAAATTTCAAGGACACTGCAAAAGTATCCTGGAATAATTAACTCAACCACAATATGTTCCATATTGCTGCAGAATCCAAATGCAGTTTACAGATCATTTCATTTCAGAGAGCTTATTAAAATATTTTAACTCTAAGATTTCATATACATTCCTAATGTAGGTCAAAGAGGCCTTGTTTAGAATATGTTGCCTGAACATAAACCAGATTTTCAATTAGTTCTTACGTATTAATGTCTGACTAGCAATAGAATTGAAATATTATAATAAAAACAATGTATAGCCCAGAATTGATCTCCCAGGAACACTGAACTATTTCCTCCTATATTATGAATAGTTTTTACCCTCCATGTATGAAATCCCTCTTATCCAATGCCTAGTTCCTCTTACTTTTGCCACAAAATTTTATGATCTACAGTAGTTGTCAAAGACCTTCACCAATTTTAATACACCATAAAGCAAATATGTCCGCTGTCGAATTTTATTTGTAAATCTAAGATAAAAACAATAATCTTCACTTCCATGTCTCTCGGCCTATGAATGAGGAGCCAGACTGAACGTGATACACAAACTCACTCATGAGGTTTGTCATTTATACTAGTCGATATTTCAAAGTAAGCTCAGACTTCTTTTTCAAGTTTTTTACCCATTCAAATAATATGATTGTAGCCAATAGACAATAAACGTCTAAACTTGGCCATTATTTGCCAACAATTTTATACAAAACAAAATGTCTAAGGGCTAGTTTACATTCTGCACCATAAGTTACCCTTCATTATTTTTGAGACATGACAAGATAACATATATTTTCTTCCAGAAAGTTGGAAAAACAAATCAAATTTTCAATAACACATTAAAATTCCTACCTTGCTCCATTTTCCAATAGGATCCAAATTTACTCCTCTATTAATCAAGGCCTGTGCCAAATCTCTCCTTCTAGTTTTTAAGGTATTAGTCCTAATAGTCAAAGGCCTTTGTACTTCACTAGCCTCTAGAAATTCTAATAGTTCAGACAGCGGAAACAGCTGCATAAATTTCTCCATTAAAAATTCATTGTAACTGTAATATGTACACAAATCGTTTCTTATAAGTTCAATATAGTCGCTTCTCGAGTGATTGCTGTCCCGATGTTTGTTGAAGTCGGATAAGACAAAGATTACTTCACGAATTCTTTGTTGCACATCCTAAGAAAAAAAAGTATTTTCAGGAGGTTTATTTCATATTCTTGTTTTGACAAATGTCTAATTTACCTGTAATGATACAACTTCTTCAGAATCCTTTGAAGGGAACTGGAATGTGGCTTGTTCAGAAATGATCGATTGCATTTCAGCATCAGATTCTTTTTGTATTCTGGCTTGTTTTTTCTTCAATTTGATGTTTTGTTTTTCAATTGGCAACAAGTCATCATCTGCATCTTCGGTATTCGTATCATCCTCTTCTTCATCAGCGGTATCAGTGTCAAATTCGTCATCTTCGTTATCAGACAAATCATTCAATTTTTCTACAGTAAAATCATGATCTTCTGAATCTTGTTCTTCTTCCATATCTTCGTCACTTTTTTCTTCTCCCCCTTGTTCTTCATCACTTGATGGAGGCCTAAATCCTTTCCTAGACTTAGGTCTAAGCCAAGCTTGATTATCATCAGAGAAGCCTTTAACATTGATTTCTTCTACAGATCCACTTGCTTCTTCATGCATAGATTCTGCATCTGTTTCATCTTCATCTATTTCATCATCATCTCCACTTTCAGATTCACTGAAATATTGGTTTGGAGGTGCAAGTGGTCCTTTGCCCTTCTTATAGTCGGACTTTCCTTCTTTCTTGGTTTTCTGATTTTGTTTTCTTTTTTCTAATAATTCTGCCTTTTTTTCTTCCCTTCTCTTAAATCTCTTTTTTTGTCTTGAGCTTAGTTTTTTGTCTGCATCATCAGAAACTATAAAAAAAATAAATATTCTAATTAAAAGACAAGAGCAAGACCTTGAGCAAAAACCCAAATAAAAAAAATTACTGAATAGTCCAGAAACACAGAATAATAGTCCTGGATTGATGGCAAAGTAACTAGGCCAAGAAAATTAAGTTTTTATGACCACTAGGTCCACTAAGCTAGCTCTACCAGAGTTTTGGTTGTGTCCGAAAAACACCGATAAAAAATTTTGAGCTTCTTTACTTTTTTTTTTCAAAAATCATTTTTATTGTGGAAGTGCGAAAAAAAAAGGTTCTACTGCAGAGAAGTATTAATGCACCCCTTTAAGAACAATAAAACTATAGTCGGCAGACCAAGAAATGTCATCAGAACTCTAAAATCAGTTAAGGGTGCAGCATTAAGTTAATACCAAACGTTGAGGATGCCTTATTTAGGGAGTTATTGGGTTGTCTATAGTTCCCTCGATAGTTCCATAAGATGTTGAGGGTACTATAATTCAGAGTGTTATTAGGTTAACCAGTTTTATATGATCTTGAAAGATCTTTATGATTGCACATTTTGTTGTGCATAAGACTGGCTGTCTCTAAAATAAAAATAAAAAACAGTACCTCAAGTTTCTAACTGTCACTTTTTGGATTCTTCTTTAAAGGATGATGTAAATGTTTTAAATGTAAGAGATTTAAGCTTGTCTAATCTGACTAATATCTCGACTAATACATCCATTTTAGAAAACAATAGCTGTGATGAAAATACCTTACATTTCAAGTCTGAGTAATCTTCGGAAATTAATGATGGAGAGAACTTTATGAGTAGAAAACTAGATTTAGTCTGATTTAGTCATATGTAACCCATCTATGATCTTGGTTTCTAGATGTGATGATATACCTAGTAAGTGAGGACATGTGCCATTTCTTACTACTTACTACATATTTATAAAAATGGAATATATAAATGTGAGACACTCGGTGAGACATAATACGATTAAAACTCAAATTAAGTACTACAATCAAAATAAAAACAATACATACTTATGATTACTCTAATGGTGAGCTTCATAATTTCTTTATTTTGCTTCAAAACTGTGACTGAAAAAATATAGAGCTTCTGTCACAACCCATTCTATGACAGGATGTATACATACAGGGTGGGCCAATTTGGAGCCCTCATCAAATTTCATGAAATCTTCATTGATGCAAAACGCAGTTGGATACCTTTCCCGGTTTGCCGCTAGAAAGCGTTTCTCGATTTTGAGGAATAGGTACTGAAAGCTTCATAACTTTTTTATTCATCAAAATCATTGGTTTCTGTAAAATCTTTCCGGAAGCACTTTTTTGAGCAGAAGTCAGCAAAGTCCGACAAGTATAAATAACAATATGCATTTTTTTATATCAACTAGGTATTACCGAGTGTATTACATACCTAAATCAGTCCCAAAATCTTTTTTCTGCTCCTATTTTATAATTTGCTAATTAAAAAATTTTAAGATCTAGATCTTCATTTTCAAAATTGTCAATAGATGGCACCACAAGTTGAGAAATTTACTATTCTTATAATAAATCTGTTTAATGGGAGTAGAAAAAATAGTGCATGCAACTCTCATGTAATTGCCATTAATGGCTATCAATGATCAATGCATAATATACCTACTATTTGAAGACAAACCATTCAGCTCATGAGCCGATTATTGCATGGGCAATATAAATAATGAAAATTTTAAGACCCTATTTTTTTATCTACTCATGAGTATTTAACGCCAAACAAAAATGAAATTCTGTCAGTCAACACGTTGAAATGCAATCACTGTATATTGATAACTTATTGCATAGGTGTGCTGTTGCTGATTTCAATGATGTAGGGTTGGATAGGTTTACTTATGTTTGAGAGACAAAAAAGTTATGAGAAACACTGTGTTAGAAAGAGACCTTTCACATTTTCGTTGCAGATAAAGTCCATTTCTACACAATGGCTCTTATGCCGAAAACAGATTTTAAATTTATTCTCCAAAACTGATAGAAATAAACCTCCAATTCTATATCATTAAAATCAGCAAAAGCAGAGCTATCCAATGAGCTATTAATCTATAGGGTGTCCGGACTTTGGTCAATATCTCGAAATCAGGTCCAAATAGAAAAAAACTTAGAAGGACAGTGGATTGTACTTAAAACAATGGTTTTAGCAAGTTTTAATATAACACAATAACACCTAGAAAAAATAGGTAGACAATGCTGTATTGATATAGTCCGTTCATAAAGTCTAGACTTTTTTGAGTAGGTGATCTGAGATTTTGGCAGCTGATTGGCTAGATTTTGGGGCCTCACTAGGGCCTTGGGATAATCGTTTAAATTGAGCGCTGGTCGCCAAGTCGACCCCCTAATTTTGGCCAATCAGCGTGCAAAATCTCATATCACCTACTGGGAAAAGTCTATAGACTCTAAGAACGGACTTTATTGGACACGTTTCAAAATGCACACAAATGGTACTTATTACTAAAATATATTTTTTTATATAATTATAAACTTACCATTTAAACTTTTTGGAAAAATTGGATCTTTCTGCTTCTTGGCTTTTTTTCCGGGGCCTTTTTTAACAAGCACGCCATCATTGAATTTAGCTTTTCTACCCATTTTCAAGCACCTTAAAACTATTACCTTCGTCAATTAAATTAAATTTATATAAATATGGGTTTAAACCGTTCCCGGATAAATTAAAAAAAACTGCAAACACGTGTAGTTGAGGTTAGTTTTTCTAACACAAACACGTCAATGTCAAACCTGAACCAGACAACCAACGACCTGTCAAAAGTTGTATTCCGCGTTCACAAGTGATGACGTCATCCACAAATTGGTTTAAACTGTAGTTCGAAACATTCGCCCCTTAAAGCTACTCGCTCTGGTGTTAGTCGACCGCGATTTCATAGCCGATTTGAAAGGAACCGATGCGCTAGCTCTCATGCATTTACTGTATTCCTTTTACCCGTTGAGTTACTCGGAGCTGCTCAATGTCAAAAGCGTGAACGTTCCATTTGAAAGTGCGTTAAGCACTACAGTCGCTCATAGTGCATCCCCCTTTCCACTGATGCACCAAATTTGCGGGGGGTGCAAAAAGCCCTTTTAGGTAATGTTAATATTGAAAAATATTGATAATAGAAAGTTCTCGTGCCTCAGACGCTACGCTAATACGGTACCGCTAATAATACGGTATTTTACGTGGTCTTTTATAGTTCTCGGACACGAAGACATAAAAATTTTCTAATTCCTTATTCGGTTTACATTTTGACAGCTAAGTTGAGTAATCTAACCCATCTTTCATTTTCCCTTGGTGTTTTTTATGGAGGAATTATTAGAAGTTGCTGTTCTTGCTGACGAAAATGGAGCGTAAACTAATTTTGACATAGCATAACGTTACGGTAAGGCATACGCTAAATCCCGTTAGGTAGCGGGCCCCGCTAACGCTAATACCGTAAGAACTGTCATACTTGTCAAATAGCGTTACGGTATTTGAAATTTGGACAGCACGAGAACTCTCTAATATATCTGAATTGTGTGTTTTGGAATGACTCCGAGCAAAGAATCTCCGAGGAGCTCTAGAGCAAAACATTCGGTGTAACTCGATGTATAAAAGGAATACAGTAATTAGGGCGAGTTCTCATGAGCGTGATAAAATAGTTGGGTTTTATTAGTTCTTTTCACGTGGCTCCGGTTCAAACTAACCGGGTTACAAAACGGTTAGTAGCGGTATGTCATGATGACGTCATTGAAAATGCCATTTGAAAACGAACGGTTAGAAAAATGTTATTTTAAATTAGGAAATCGAATGACCTGTCAATATTTTTAATAGGTTGATGTGCCCTCTAGTAACTGCACCAAAATTTCACGTATATTTTGAAAAAAAATTACCCTATTATGTCTAATAATGACGTCATTGAAAATGCCACTTGAAAACGAACGGTTAGAAAAATGTTATTTTAAATTAGGAAATCGAATGACCTGTCAATATTTTTAATAGGTTCATGTGCCCTCTAGTAACTAGTAACTGCGTAACTGCACCAAAATTTCACGTATATCTTGAAAAAAATGTACCCTATTATTTTCTTTAACTTTCTTTGCTTCCATGTTCATCAATCGATTAGGTAGGTATATTTAGAAACTTTAAAATAATATCATCAAAACGCACAATTTTTAGTTGTACACCTGTCACAATTTTCCCGCTCTCCGTTGTTCATAAATTTTCTCTTTTTGTTCTAACCGTTTAGCGTAACCATATCGCCGAGCTGGTTAGAGAAATGACATACCGTGTCCTAAACTGGTTACATAGTGACGTCATCGATACCACTCGTATTTGAGCGGTATGTTGCGGTTTGTTAAACCGGAGCCACGTGAAAAGGGCTAATGGTGAAATATTCGCCATGCTGAGTAGGGATTCTAAAATCACGATTCGACACACGACTCGCCAACGGGACGCAACTCGATACCGGCCCTGTCGTCTCGAAAGGTATGATTCCAATGAGATTCCAACCTAGGATCGTCGGAAAAACTCGTCTCGTTGTTGAGTGGTGTGTCGAATCGTGATTTTAGAATCCCCGACCTGGATATTTTACCAATCACATTACACCATATTATCACGTGATTACGCCAGAAATGTCAACTTACGCTAATGAGAACTCGCCCTTAAATGGTTTGAGTCGGGCTTATGCAAGGTAACACACACTACTTAGGATTGCTTATCGGCCTCGTTTTTGGTAATCGCCACAATATTGGTGTATCACCATTGCCGACGTCATCAACTAAGTCGTCAGCGACGTCATCAACTAAGTCGTCAGCGACGTCAGCTGTTTGCGCCAGCGAACGTGGTTTAGAATTTAAATTTATGATGAAAAATTATATTTAATTTTGATTAACATAGGCACGAGATCTAAAAAATAGTAATGTAGTATAAACAAGTATGCATAAACCAAAAGCATGCAGAATCATAACCTGTGGTGCAAACAGCCTACATCAAGGCGAGAAACTACATGCTGTCTACGTCACAATTAGTGATTTGGAGAGGTGGGGGGCAGAAGTGTTGCAATAATGGATCTACATGTAGGTGCAACACTATAGATGTACCAAAAATGTTCTAGTCAGCGACTGTTCCCAAGAATCGTAAACTCTAGTTTTCCAAATCTGCCCGCCAATGCAATGCGAAAACTCTCGCTAGGTGACGTCAACTGCAGTCTTTTATTGGCGCTTTTACCATGTAAATGCATGGGCAATATGGGACACTTGCAGTGTGTTTATCGACTATGATTATGAATATCTTAAGTAGGTATCACTATTCGGCTTTATGAGATAAGCACTTACTTTAAGTGTGCATAATAATTCGTTTTAGTACTTAATCAATTATTGAATAATAATTGAGAAGTAGGTGAAGTAAAGACGGTAAAAAATAAAACACACTATAACAACCCGGTGTCGCTTACATTTTGATATTTAGAAATGCAAAAATTAAATCATGACACAAAATCATACATACAACCTTGTGTTTTTTGACAAACAGAGAAACATATTAATTATGAAACATTTGGCAAACGCTGATTCAGTGAAAGCCATTTGCTTTATATGGCATTTGAATTTGAACTTATCCTATCCAATATTTTTAATTAATATTATCACTGCAAGTGACGTCACGTGCAATCCATATTTTGGCGAACGTATGTCTCATAATTATGGGATTGACGGATTGAGAAATTATTAGTCTGTTAGAGTTCCCGATTTTCGGACTGTACCTACCTTGCAAAAGCTTTATTAGTACCTTCCTCTCCTCCTCAAAATTAATATCTTATTGCTTCCATCTCATGATGATTGATGGGTGTCCAAAACGACGAAAATATTTAAAAATGACAACAAAAAATAAACAAAGTTAGTCGAACCTTGTCTGATACCGGAACCACCAACCGCCTTTCGAGCACGTCTAGTGCGCGGTGACAGGAATGGCATACCGAATTGAAAACTTGAGCTGTAACTTGAGGTATGTCGAGCCAGAGCAGGATGAAAACGCATATGGCCGTTTGCACCGACCATTTTAAGGGAGGTTTAACCATAATCAACACTTAAACTGACATTTTTACGTGCAAAAATGTGGTCGGTCTAAACCAAGGATAATAATCGGCCTCGTTTTTGGTAATTGCCACCATGTTGGTGTATCATAATTAACGACGTCATTAACTAAGGGCGGGTATTATAAAACTGCTTTGACAGTTAACTTGAAGTTAACTTTTTGAATTACATGTAATTCCAGAAGTTAACTTTAAGTTAACTCTCAAAATAGTTTTATAATACCCACCCTTAGAATGTTAATTAATGTATTAAAACCAAGTATGCATAAAGCAAAATCCCACGGAATCATAACCTGTGGTGCAAACAGCCTGTGATATGTGTTTAATCATAAACTACGTGAATGAATTTTTTCCTTTTTTTTTGCTCTTAATTGCGATTTTTGATTGGTGTGAAGCTTCTGAAGTTCTTATTTCTTAGAAAATTCCTGTGACGTTGGTTGGGAAAGCCGTTCGTATCGTGATAGTTTCATTTCATGTCGTTCCTGTAGATACAAAACACAGCAAATTTTTAACGTACAAGTCCTGATGAACGTGGCCAACGTCAACCCATTCATAATCGCATACCAGGGGCCCAATTCTCCAGTTACGACTAAAAATCTCGCAATCGACAAATCACGCATCTGTCCGGGGATTCTAAAATCAAGATTCGACATACGACTCGACATCGAGACGATTATTCCGACGATTCTAGGTTAGAAATCTCATTGGAATTATACCTTTCGAGACGACAAGGCCGGTATCGTTGTCGAGTCGTGTGTCGAATCGTGATTTTAGAATCTCGGCCCTGGTCGAACGCGAATCCTAAGGCGATTTCGGCAAGCTTTGGTACATGGTTTGGTACCCTGTTTGGTCTGTCAAATGCATACCAACCAATTTCGGATACGAAAATGATGTCGTCACCGTGACTTTGGTATCCTTTTTGGTCTGTCAAATAGGATACCGTGGTCAACAGCACGGTTCTTCTATTTGGTATAGCGCTATCTACGTCTATTTTCGTTTTGTCCTGCTCTGGGAAATGTAAATAAATGGAAGTTCATTAGAATTTGAATAATAATTTGAAATTTTTAGCAAATATGTTTGTTTTTTCGCCTTCATCTTCCTGTTTTCTCGTATGTTTTGACTGCCAAATAATGTTTGACTATCATTTAAAAAATAACTTTGAACGACAGATATGGGGTAACTTTTTTGCTGAATGGATTATGGAATATGCTTTAAATTTACAGAAAACGCTGAGTTAGCCAATAGGTTACTCAAAGGTACTGTTTAGACAGTGCTGATTAGTGATTATAGATTTTAGACAGTGCAGTCAGTACCTAGTCACTCCCAAAACTAGAAGACAAAGTTAGGTTAAGGCTCGTCTCTTCCTCTCTCATGACCTACCAAACGAATTCGGAACAAAATGGTATCTTACGTCATTACTATGACGTTGCAGGTACCAATTGGTTAACCAAATGGTATACCAACCAAAGCTTGCCGAAATCGCCTCTAAACTCTATTCTCGGTCGGTATGCGAATTTAAATGACGCATTCGACAATTGTCGAATGTTTAAACATGGCAACATCTAATTTTATCAATGAACTATAACCAAAAACTGGAATGCTAACACATAAGGACGAACGTGAGGCCTAGTGCGGCTGCTGCGGAGGGGATACCTGTTTTTGTCGCACTCATTATGTTTAATGGCGAAAATTGCTTTCAACACGTATTCCAATTGATGAAACCTGTGAAGGGAAATATGACAAAACTTTCGAAAACGTCATATGACAGCGAGCAACAGAAAAAAACAACATTCCCCTTTGTGGCATCTGTCTTTCATGGCTACATTTTTTTGGCAGATATGGCAATGTGTGCGCATTCCAGTTTTTAGCTATAGTTCATTGAATTTTATAGTATTTGGCACGTTTTTGACAACTGTAAAGTGTCACATTTTTTGATCTTTCAAAATAAAAGTGGATTTTTTCTTGAAAAAATATAAGTTGTAGGTCCTATTTTGTGCGTTAAGATTACGATTCGTGGTAAAGTAGTGGAAAATAGAAGAATATATGAAGGTCTTTAAAAAGTGAACATGCTTACATTAGTTTTATTCCTTTCACACCTAGGAGGAGCTCCGGAAGAGCTCCGGCGTTACGCGCTTATTCCTTTCAAAAAGTGTTTGTTGCACCACGCATCTGTTCCTTCCAAATCGGGGCCAACTAACAACGGAGCGAGTAGCTTGAGTGCTCCAAACTCTTGAAAGGAATACAACAATTGGCTTCAATAGAAATTAAAGAAGCTCTAGTACTATCCTTTATTTAGGGTCGCACCAACTCAATTAAGCCCCATGTTAATCCTTTAGTTAATCGACAGTTTTTCACAGAAAGGCACTGATACATAAAATTGAACGCGTTTCTATACTCATAGAATCTCCTAGGAAATCTATTATTTTCTACTGGAATCGCAAGATTTTCAATAGCCGCTAAAAACTTGATTTCTTTGTAATCAGCCATTTTTATGACAAAAATAAATAAAATTGACGATTCGTGATCTCATCCCGCGTGGTCTTACCCACTCGTAATTATGTCGATCAGAAAAAGGCGAAGGCGACATTCGAGAATTGGGTTATGCCAAAAGGTATCGAGATATGCGATTCTCGTACGCGACATTGGAAAATCGTAATTCGAGAATTGGGCCCCAGCCCTAAGGTTTATACCCGGGGTGACCCAAACGCGTTCAATAACTGCCAATGACATACGTGACGTTTACAAATTCAATAGTTGTATTCCTTTCACACGTAGGAGGAGCTCCGGAACAGCTCCGGGGCTTCACGCGCTTATTCCTTTCGAAAAGTGTTTGTCGTACCCAATGAACCACGCATCTGTTTCCTGCAAATCGGGGGCTACTAAACACCGGAGCGAGTAGCTCGAGTGTTTCAAACTCTTGAAAAGAATACAACTATTCAGTGATCACCCCGGACGTTCTAAAATCGTACAAGAATAATTATTAGCTCTGTTCCGTTCCAGAACCAGTAATTTCCAGTTGCCCATCTATTTTTCAATAAGTTGGACGTTTATCCTACTTAACAAATGAATTGATGGACTGAAAATTACCGTTCTAGAACGGTTTTCATGTCGGTTGGACAGAGCTATGGTATGGTAAAAATCACCAGACATGCGCATCGACTATAATGATTTTAAATGAGCTGAGCGCGAAAAAACGCAAACTGTCCTTTCTATTCGGTAGTTTATGAGTTTGAAGTTAGCGAGAAGCGAAGCGCCACATTTTATGTGATATTTCAAAATCCCGTTTCAAAAAATGGTTATTTGTGTCATATTAGACCAATAGACCAAGAAGTGGGTATTTTTGTGCTGAGCTCAACGTTTCAATTGAGCAAAGTAGCAAAGCAAAAAAAGACCTTCGAGGTCGAATGGCATACAACATATCTTCAAGGGATTGCCAAATTTCCTTTCTTCCACAACTTAATCACTGCTTTTTCCATCCATTTTCAGAAAAATAAATAGCTACTATTATAAATTCACGTCGCGTCGTGTCGTATCTCAAATTTGTTTACTGCAAATTGAAGTCAAATCAATATTAGGTCACTCGGAACACATTTTACTGTTTTGAACATGCACGTTCGTGTAAGCGCGCAGGCCCACCAACTTGGTACAGTATTCATAATCATTTATGCTCCTACTTTATTTATGCAATAATTTAGACCATAATTATTGAACAAAAAATGGAAAACGGAGCAAAATATTAGGTCTGTTTCTGCAGAAATCACAAACCAGTCAGAACGAATTTAATTAATTGAAAACAATCAGAAACAGTCAGAAAACTAGTTTCAGCCAATGAAATTCACTCTGACTGGTTTTTTGATTTTTGCAGAAACAGACCTAAAGGCGGTTACACACGGACGTGGATGTCTTGATACATATACGTACATACATCAACGTGCAAACAACAACGTGCATGTCGCGTTTGTACAGACGCTCGTACAAAACTGTAGTCTTGCTATTCTTGCTACAGTAATCCGAGTGTGCATACAAAATTTCTAGCGATTCCACATTCAAAAACGCGAAGGTACTTTGCATACACATTGATGTTTTTGTTTGCGCGTTCATGTATGTGCGTACATGTTTTAAGACATCCACGCCCGTGTGTAACCGCCTTAATATGAATAAATTATGCCCCTAAAACTAATTTATGGACTTTGCTGTTGACGCCGAGCCAAAAAAAAAAAATGAAATACCTATATATTTGATTAATAAAAATAACTATATTTTAATGATAAAAAAGTGCATAAAAAGGACTATTTTAGCTTAGTTAGCTCAAGTCAAACTTAATTGTAAACAATAAACAATAAGATTACATACATCAGGACTTTCATTCAAAACTTGCCACCCACATTATCTGCGTCAAGAGGTTATTTGTGGAAATCGCCAAAACAGGTCAACAAATTTATTGGGGGAAGGTTTTTGGAACTGAACTTCCTTCTTTCAACCCTTTAACCTACCACCCCAAAATTTTCAGGGGGGTTGAGTAATAGATCATTTTGGAGATCAGTTTAAAGGGCTGTTTAATCTGTACATTTTTCTGTCCTATTTTTTGAGTTCGACCTCAGTTTCAATGTTTAAAATGCTTATTTATCTTTGAACACACCTACCTTTTTACTATAGCAACAGGTAAACAAGCAGGTGTGTCTAGGATTTTTCATTAGGTTTTTAAACATTGAAATGGGTGTTACGCTGCAACAGTGAGGTCAAATTTATATAGGACGTCAAAATATACAGATTAAACAGCCCTTCAAAATGATCTTATTATTGTCTCAATTGAAAATTTTGGGGTGCAGGCCCTAGGACTTAGGGGGTTGACAATAAATTTGTTGACGAGTTCCGGTAATTTCCAGAAATCTGCCTCTTTACGCTGATAACGTAGGTAGCAAGTTTTGAATTGAAAGCTCTGTATACTAAAATTAATAATAATAAAGACATGCCAGTATGAAGAATAATTATAGACCTGTAGTTATAACTACAATGTAATCACCTATCATAGGGATGTCCATCTAACTATTATTCATTTATAAAAATAACAAAAAATAATTTATAATATGCATTAGAGACCCCTACAAAAAAATACTGACACAGTTGTTTTTTTTTACTTGTAACACACAACAAAATAACGGTTGTTCATAATTATAACGATCGTAGTTGGAGATATCATATTTTTGCACCCTGTGTACGACCGTACAATAATTTACTCAGCAAGCGTTATGTCAGTGGAATCTGCGGATTTTTGGGAGGATTTTCGAATGTGGCTTGCGCCTTACCTCTCTGATGGCTATCACCAGAACTATAATGTAAACATTTTTGCAATGTTAGTCAAGACATACATTTTTTGGGACAATTACGATCCATAGGCGACTTGATCGTTACAATTATTGAACTTACTAATAAAAATATGCAATAATAATAATAGTAATAATAAACAAATTCCTGTATAACATTCTAGCAGTTTCAATATAAGTATGTTTCATCAAATATGAAGACTAAGAATATGAGCTTTGACACTATCAATATCCTCAAAGCCTTCAAAGCAAATATTACACTGTAGTAGTGTGTCTTCATCGTGTATTTTTATATGGTTGAACCAGTTTGCTTTGTCTGCAAAACATTTTCCACAAGTAGGACAAGAAAATGGTTTTTCTTTAGTGTGATGTGATCTTATATGACCTTCCAGTCGTCGTTTGTTCATGCAGATTGTTTTACATTCTGTGCATTGATATTTGGTGTCTCCCTTATGTAGTCTCATATGCTGACTAAGCGAAGCTCTAAATACAAACGCTTTGGAACAGATTTCACAGATGAATTTTCCCATATGTTGGTCTTGATGCTTGAGCAAGTTATTTTTTTGCTTGTAAGTTCTATCACAGAGACTGCAAGCAAATTCCATTTCTAAAAAAAAAAATTATTTTTTGTCATGTTTTTTTCATTAAACTTACCATTATGTGTCATTTTGATATGTACTTTCAGACTTTTATTGCTACTAAAAGCTTTCCCACAAGTCTCACACTGAAAATTACGAGGACCGTGCAATGCCATATGTTCTTGAAAATACTGTTCTGAACTTAAAATGTTTCCACAAACATCACACTTAAAACTCTTTTCTGGCGAAAAAGAAAATTCATGAACGTTTTTGTTGTGTTTAATTAATGCTGAACGGGACTTGAATTGTTTACAGCAGTATACACATAATATTCTTGTGCCAGTATGCTCTCTTTCATGTTGATCCAATATATATTTTCTGCTAAAACCTATAACGAGAAAAAAAACTCATGTTAGCGACGCAACCATTTCAAGAGAAGTAGTTTTTAAATGAAATAGTGATGTTTCTGGAAACCAATTTCGGTTTCTATGCAAAAATTTCAGGTTTTTCGCAGAATCCTGACGGTAATATTACGGTTTCCTGCTGGACTGGAACAAAGCTTATGATACCTGATTGATGAATCATCACTGAAGTAAGAAAAAAAAGGACGAGGGTAATGTAAACAAGCTATTTTACCTTTCTTTTCTTATCTATTTTTATATTGGTCATTCGGCAGTAGACTATTGTGGAGGAATAAGCTATTAAAAAAATAATAGGTAATTATATACCTAAGCTATGATCCTAACTGCCGTTCAAATCAGAATTTTGGTATGCTACTTCTAGTTGAGCATGTTTTTTTGGTATTAGATTTTAAGCATTTGGCTGTAGATGTTTTCAATAACTTCCTCTTAACAATTGAAGTTGCGTTTTTTTGATATCCAGGGCAACAAATCATGGTTTGATTATTTCTTTTTGGTAATTGGTGTCCCCCGTGGAAGCCGTCCGCCATAATAGGTTAGGATCTCATTTGTTACAGTCCCCGCAACATAAGGTGGCGAGAGCTGGCGCAGGTAGGCGTAGCGATGGGTCCCTTTTCTTGGCCCAGGCAAAGCTATAATACAAACCTTTTCCATTATCAGAGGCGTCGCTAATTGGTATGACGATTTTGCCATTACAAATAAATTATCATATTGTACCTACACGCCACTGTTCCCCATCGGTTTACCGAGGGTAGGGTTTACAGTTCAGTTTACGCCCCTACCATTTCCGAATTTTGTCTAGTGCGCAAATTGCTTTTTCGCCACCTTATGTTGCGGGGCCTGTACACGATTATACTATTAAAGGTAAGTGTAGCAGTGGGGCACTACCGAATACCGGCGAGAAATGGTTGAATTATGATTGGCTGTTGGGTGTCAGCTGCACAACGTGGTTTCAAATGAATTCAGCCTAATGGGGCCTCAATAGAATAGCTGAATGCTCTTCAACTTTGCCAGGCAAAATTGTTTTTGTGTTTTCCAGATGAAGAGTCGAGTGATCATGTTCGATATTGGACCTGAAATGAAATGGTCACGCCTCTAAAGAGGAATACAAAACCTTTCAAAGGCAGTATCACACGAGGTAGTTTCTCATTTTAGAAAAGCCTTCAAGCCTTCAAGACAGAAGGGGTAGGGGTTAGACTTAGTTAAAGTAAACAACTCGAATTTGCAAGTTGGCACCAAGAAAATCTTAAAAGATATATGTAGTACAGTGCCCGCGGAAAAGTCAGCACCATATGGGAATTTTTTTTATGCTCATCCTTACTTCAAATCGGTTTTCGGTATTAGGTTCTGCATGACTGAAAACCAAAAAAACACCCAAAATTTTTGACTCACGACTTGCCTCACACCTGTCAAATGCCATTTGAAAATTTCAAACAAGGAAAAGTGGCATTTTTATAAAAAATATGAAAAAATTTTATAAGAAAATATTGTTCCAAAAGACATTTAGAGTCTAATTTGATATTTTTGCTTTGAAATTTCAATTTGAGAAATCTAAAATTTTTAAAATAGTCCAGAGGCGTATCAAAATTTTAATAGAAATATTTCTTTTTGATGTTTAAACTCTTAATTAGATTATTGAGATTTAAAAAACCATTAAGTAGTCAGATACAAACTAATTATTTTACAGGAATGGTCGCGAAAGAAATCCTAAAAATATTATTTTTCCGTAGATATTCGAAAAAAATTTCCTTGTTTGAAATTTTCAAATGGCATTTGACAGGTGTGAGGCAAATCTCGAGTCAAAAATTTTGGGTGTTTTTTTGGTTTTCAGTCATGCAGAACCTAATGCCGAAAATTGATTTGAAGTTAGGATGAGCATAAAAAAATTTCCCATATGGTGCAGACTTTTCCGCGGGCACTGTATGTGTGTTTTTGATATTCCAATATTCCCCAAGAAGTCTGGGTGGTCAGGGCCGTACTCCGTACTAAGCAGTACTATGACTTTATTAAAATGTTTTACTTACACAAAACTCAAATATGTAATTGATTTTTTAATCAAACATTTATTTATAATTTTAGGTTCTGTGTTATGTTTTAAGCCAGAGAATTCACACAATTAATGAGTTTTGTAATTGAATTTTTTAATTTATAGGAAAGGACCCTTCTTATGGGATTTCTGACCGCGGTCAAATTTAACCAAATTTTAGTTTGTTACAGATCTCACCTTTCTGATCAATAACTACCATGGGCACAACTTAATCCTATGACTAGCTTCTGAGATACAGGTAGTTTAATGTCCAAGAAATGTAAACATTTTATGTGCATTTACATCTACCTGCCACCTGAGCGTAAGGATACCTGTCCATCCTGGTATATTATTAGGTAACAGGTAGATGTAAATGCATATAAAATGTGTACATTGCTTGGACATTAAACTACCTGTATCTCAGAAACTAGTCATAGGATTAAATTGACCTCTATTGTCACCACTGTAGTAAAGGTTTATTTAGTCACTGTAGGCGGTGCCATTGTTATTGTTTGACATGACACAGGAGGTCTTTCAATGTAATTTTCTTGAAGTTTAGAGCCCGATATTTCCAAAACGACTAAAAACGACTAAAAGTAGTTAAACCGTATATATTTTGTGACATTGTGTCAAATTGCCTAAAAAGAAACTTAGGTACATTGAAAAATTTTCAAAATAAAAAAAAATTGAAATCAGAAAATTCGACTCTTTTCAACTATGGAGTAATATAATATGTATAGGGTGTTCCAGAAGAAAAAACTAACCATCTGTCAAAATTTGACATTTCTAAAAGAATAAACAAGTGTTTGACATCAGAATTCTCTTCACATAACCCTTGGAGGGCATGGGTCAATATATGGGGAAAAACCCTGTACACAACAATCTGAGTCATCCGTTGGCAATATTGCTACAGACCTTTCGAAAATCTATTTTATAATAATGTACTTACTTTTTTCACAAAATTCACATTTAAAAGGTTTATATTCCACATGAGTGAGTATATGCCGATTCAAATCACTTTTGAAAGTAAATTTTGCTTGACAAGTTGGGCACTGAAATGGTTTTTCTCTGGTATGAATTCGAATATGATCCCTCAAATTTGCATAACTAGCAAATTTACTATAGCAATATTCACACTCAAATTTGAAGTTTTTTTTGTGAGTTTCGTTTTTGTGTTTTTGCATTTCCTCTGCAGTTGAAAATAGTTCTGCGCAGCCAAGACATTTGAAGCCTAAAAAAAATACTAGTCAGCTAAAAATTTAAATGTAAACTAAATTTTTTCTCACCTTTTATTCTCATTGGCTCTGGCTCTGGCTCTTCTTGCAATTCCAATACATATTGATTTTCTTCTTGAATGTTACAACTATCATCCACTATTTGTATATAGAGAATCTCTTCTCCTTCAGTGTCTTCTCGAGTGTCTTCAGTAGCATTTAATTCTTCAGTATATAAAATGTCCATTTCATCTACAGGATCTGCTGAAGTATTTTCAATACTAGTTTGAGAACAATTTTCATCAGAAACTTCTTCAATTTCTCCAATTTCTCTTTCAAATATCCGACTTACAGTCTGTTCAGAAATTTTACATCTATGAAGGAAATGGTAGGTTTGATACATGAGTTTTATGCAATTCTTGCACATTTGTTGTGGTACTTCATCATCTGTATGCCCCTAAAAACAGGAAAAAATCATAGTTTCATGTTTCATGCTTTACAGTTTACACTATGTTGTGTTTATAATTCCGTGTTTCTATCAATAAATTCACCTCAGAGTATTTCAAGAAAAAGTGCCATAACAGGCACATTATAAATAGGTTTTAAACCATCATTTCCACTCAGAGCTATTGTAAACAGAAACACATATTTAGAAAGAATTAGTTTGCCAATTTTTGCTTAATAAAAGTGAATGCTCTGAAACATGCTTTTAATAGTGCTTTTCGTCCTCAAACACAATGTCCTTTTGATTTGGAAGGCCACTGTAAGCTAACCATTGGCTTGACCAGTACGTTGTGGGTTTTTGCGTTTGTGGTATGTTGTTGGCCTGTGGGACAATAGGGGTTGACCCTGATGAAGTTTTAGCGACAATGAAATAAAGGAATATCAGACCAGATTTGGCCAATTGGACATATGAGTGACCCGGAATACTTCCTACACTGGGCCAGAAATATTCTGTGGCCTTGGTGCACTTCTAAGGAATCCTCCAAAAGAAAGAGAACCGGCTAAGGAACAGGAATAAACAATGGCTAGAACAGCCGGGACTACGACAGACCAAGATCTGTCTCCTTTCATGTACTCTTTTGTATTATGATCTTGAAAAGAGAAATATTATTATTATTAAAATTACCCCTAATGTTGTTAACTTGAAAGTTTCTAGTAACTTAATTCCTTCCCATTCTACTTCATGGATCCTAAATAGTTCATCATTGTATTGTAGGCAAGTACGACAAATATAGTCAAACGATTTTGATGAGATACTTTCGTAAGGATTTTTCATTGTCTTTCACTCAAGATGCACGTTCCAAATCTGAAAATAATAATAAATTTGCCAAAACGATAGACAGTAACATTTCCAACCTTATAAACTCCAATAAACCTTGACTCAAACCAATATTAAATGCTTATAATTTACCTATATAGGTGCCTACAGATAATTTTTATTTGATTTTTAATTTTATTAGCTTCCCTACACATTAGGTTTATTCTATTGAATTAGGCATGTTATAGGGGAGGTACCTACATAAACTGTGTCATTCTCTGTTCTATAGTACCTATTGTATAGTCACCAAATACAATGAATTTCTATCTATTTAAAACTTTATTATTGTCATTGTTAATATTCTTGATATTAATTAAATTGAATATTTCTTTGAATATTGTAAGGTCGTTTAAAGTAAAATCAATCTATATTGTTCCTCGATTTTCCATTTGACTCTATTATAAAACAACAAATGGAATGGTCGCTTATCTGTTTGGGCTCTGTAGCTTAGATATTTTTTCATTGAAGGACATTCCATTATTTTTATCTGTATCAGGTAGATTTGAAATGTTTTTCTGAAGGAAATAAAGAGGGTTGTAAAATATAAAGAATCATATTTTTAAACAAACCACAATCGTCTTCCAAAAATAGAGTGGCAAATACTAACAAATAAAATTAACCCTACACACAGGTTAGAGTTGCATTGCACCTGATAGTAAGCTGTTTGTTTCAACAACAAAAAAAGTTACAACAGAGTGACCTGGCGTTTAATCCACCCAAATATTTACAATATTGGATTCAGATTCCTAGGACCAAGGACAATTAAAACAAAACAAACACATAAGAAGCTCGTTAGAACTTGAGAAGTGTAGAATTTTGAATTCCGCAAACATTCAGACTATACTTTTTCACTTACTTTTTGATAAAAATTGAATAGACCCAACAAGCAACAAACATTAATTTGGCAATAAATGAATGATGAACGTGAACATCAACTTCAACATGAACATAAACCAAGCAGTCCAAGCACAGAGCTAGGGAGCAGAGTTGTTTGTTTATGCGGTTTCATCATGCTCCGGTTCGACATACCGCAAGTGAAGTAACAGCTTAAATTCACACTAGTTGTATTCCTTTCAAGAGTTTGAAACACTCGAGCTACTCGCTCGGGTGTTCAGTCGCCCCCGATTTGCAGGGAACAGGGGTGCGATTTTCGAAACCATTCGAGTACATTTCGTATACGAAATTTGTCTGACAGCTGTTAATTAAATGGGGAGCATTCGAAATCATATCAAATTTCGTATACGAAATGTACTCGAATGGTTTCGAAAATCGCACCCCAGATGCGTGTTGCAACAAACACTTTTCGAAAGAAATAAGCGCGTGAAACCCCGGAGCTGTTCCAGAGCTCCTCCTAGGTGTGAAAGGTATACAACTATTGCAAACGGTAAGGGTAAGCGCGCACTAGCGATTTGTTGAGCGATAATTCTGTCGCAGTCGGACCGCCGTGAAATAGGACAGGTTTTATTATTTATCCGCAGCGATTATTTTGTGGCAGAATGCGTGCATGTTCGTTAAAATAGATATGTTCCATTTTAGCGACTAAACAGTCGCGCGACAATAAATAGCTAATGCGCGCTTACCCTAAAGGCATCCGTTCAGTCAGTCGGTTTCAATTCGGTATGCCATCTGTTACCGCCCACTAACCGTGCTCGAAAGGGGGTTACTAGTTCCGGGTTCCGGTATCATTCTCCTTTGGAAATATACCACAATATACCACCACACCTCTTTTTTGGTAATCGCCGCCATCTTGGTGTATCACTATTGCCAACGTCATCAACAAAGTCGTATTTATGATGAAAAATATTATTTAATTTTGATTAAAATAATAGGCAAATAGGGAGATGCAAGCGAGATCTAAAAAATAAATAATTGTTTTAGAATGTTAATTAATGTAGTGAAACCAAATATGCATAAAGCAGAAGCTCGCGAAATCATTACGTGTGGTGCCTACGTCAAGGCGAGAAACGACATGCTGTCCACGTCACAACTGGTGATTTCGGTTAGTTTGGGTTAGTTTCTTGAAAAAAAATGTCCCTCCTATTTAGTTTAACTTTAATTGCTTCTATGTTCGTCAATTGATTAGGTAGGTAGAAACTTTAAAATAATATTAATAAACACACAACGTTTTACACCTGTCACAATTTTCCCGCTCTCCGTTGTCTACAAATTTCCTATTTTTTTCCTTCAAACCGTTAAACGTAACCATTTCGCCGAGCTGGTTAGAGAAATGACATACCGTTTCCTAACTCGGTTAGAAAGTGACGTCATAGATACCACTCGAATTTTAGCGCTATGTTGCGGTTATTAATTCTAATAAAAATATAACTGAACCCCACGTGTGGCATCCATCCGGCATATTGAAAATCAACATCACGTCCAAGAATCGTTTAGATCAATAAATCGTTGTGTTGTGTTCAGTGTTATTTACACAATTATTAGGTTTGTTTCTGCAGAAATCACAAACCAGAGTGAATTTCATTGGTTGAAACTAAACCCGCTTTCCAGTGACGAATTTTAAGGTGCACCACACCCGTAGCTACACACTCTGGTGCTCAAACAACTGTGTCACTGGAACGCACCCTACTTTAAACGTCGTGAATATTTTGATGCATCCATAAAATGGCTGGTGCTTAAGAGGGCAGGGGAGAGGAAAAACGAACAGTTCAGTTGCGCGAAGCTCTTATGCACTGGAATGCCTATAAACGGGACGCTCTAGAACAGCTCAGGATTGCTTGGTAAAAAATGGGTGAAATGGAATTTTGAATTTTATCAATAAGGTTGGTTCCTATCTTTAAGTAGTTGTATTTCTTTCAAGAGCTTGAAACACTAGAGCTACTCGCTCCGGTGTTAGTCGACCCCGATTTGAAAGGAACAGATGCGCTGGCTTTCATGCATTTGAATGGTTTGAGTCGGGCTTGAGAACTCAGGTGCAACAAACACTTTTCGAAAGGAATAAGCGCGTACGCCCCGGAGCTCCTCCTAGGTGTGAAAGGAATATAACTAGTGCGCCACTGGAAGCGACTCAAGCCTAGTACTCATCATAACTGCGAAATTCGCTTTTTTTACATTGCTTCGACAATTTGACGCTTGATACACGCATAAAACGTCAAATTGTCAAAGCAATGTCAAAAAAGTGCCAATTTCACAGTTATGAGTACTAGGCTTTAGTTGTCCGACTGTTCCTGACTGTTTTTAACCAATGAAATTCGCTCTGACTGGTTTGTGATTTCTGTAGAAACAGACCTATTAATGTCGAAAAAAAAAGAGTATTTAAATCATAGTGATTTAAATCGTTTTGTAATTTTCCAACAAGAAAGGCTACTTTAGGACTTAGGTCATTCAAAATTTGAAAAGAAAACAGGCCAGAAAACGTAAAGAAATTATGTCAACAAATCTGAAATTCGGAAAATCTTATAATTTAAAATATATGAATGCGAATGAATAAATATTCATTATCCATGAAAACACTGCAAGTTTCCGATCTTTTCCATGCATTTACATGCAAAGCGCGCCAATAAAGGACTGCAGTTGACGTCACAACAATGGCGGACAGATTTAGCCGATCCGGCAATCCTGTAGAGTTTGCGATTCTTCGTCATGGTCGGCACGCGAACCCAATCACAGCTGTTTGTTCTTTATCTCTCATTAATAAACACGATTGACAAAAGGCAAATTACAACACCCTGGCTGGCGATCGGATCAGCGTTTCGGTGACTTACCGATTGGATTTGATTTCTACTCAATTGTCGAATTCGAAAAAATGACGTCATTAGTGGCGTCATCTGTTTTTTCCTAAGTAGAAAGCACCGGAAGCTGAGTCACTAGTCGCTACCAATGAACTATAGTCAAAAACTGGAATGCGCACACATTGCCATATCTGCCAAAAAAATGTAGCCATGAAAGAGAGATGCCACAAAGGGGAATGTTGTTTTTTTTGTTGCTCGCACGTTTTGGAAAGTTTTATCATATTTACCTTCACAGGTTTTATCAATTGGAATACGTGTTGGAAGCAATTTCCGCCATTTAACATAATGAGTGCGACAAAAACAGGTATCCCCTCCGCAGCAGCGGCACTAGGCTTCACGTTCGTCAATATGTGTTCGCATTCCAGTTTTTGGTTATAGTTCATTGGTCGCTACTAACTGTAGCAACGACGAGTCACATTGGCTACAGTGACTCTATTAAACCAAACCACAGTGGCGAGTGGCGACAATTGCCGGCCTGTTTTAAATGGTTCTTTAAAATCCCATATAATCATATTGAAAACGACGCCATTATCTCCCTTACTTCTTGCTAATTTTAAATATGCCAATATCTACAGTCTACAGTGACTCTGACTCTAATAAACCACAGTGGCGACATATTGCGGTCCTATTTTTCATTGGTTCTTTAAAATCCTATATGTATATTCATATTGAAAACGCCGCCATTTTGGGGCTCACCTCTTACTAATTTTAAATATAAATATATAGGTTTCAAATGGATATCCATCATAAAAAAATTTAAAACAACATATTTCATCTACAGTTTTAAACTTCGACGTTTTAAACAATGAAAATATTTTCCTGTTGCTCGCTCAACTATTACTACTTGGTTGGTCACCTGCAATCCTTATCTTGTTTTTCGCATATTTAAGTTCAATCAATGATTTGAAAGAGAATAAGCGTTGAAGGTCATTTTTTATAGTTAAAGTTTTAAGGAAAACAAACAAATTAAAAACAGAATCATGAGTAATTTTTAATCAACGCTGAAAAATTTTAAATTATGAAAAAACAAAATAAATTCAATAAAGTAGTATTAAGTCGAAAAAGCCTTCATCATAACAAACATACAGTGAGCACGTAAAGGTTGGAATAAAATCCATGAAATATACAGGGCCGGTTTATTCACCTTCTCATAAACTGTCAGGTATGCAATCTGACGGATAAAAAGCCAATCTATAATCCCATTGGTCGGCGGATAACTGGGAACAGAACAGTGATAGTGATAGTAACCAGCAGCGCCGGCCTTAGGGGGGTGCAGAGGAGCTAACTGCACCCGGCGGCAAAATTTAAGAGGCGGTAAATTGAGAAAATTATTCAAAATATCACTAAATCTTAAAAAAAATCGAACGGTATTCAGAATAATATTTATGAAAAATACTAAAATATTAGGTATTGTTACGAAAATGCATTAACATGGCACCGCCCGGATTCCAAGAAATTAAATTAGTCACTTGTTTACGTCTGGCAGGGCGCCTTTTCCTGGAATTCTATTATATTCGATTCGATGGTTTTCTATCTAAATCCCGAGTTTAATTGCGACTATATGAATAAATAGAGCTTATGAATAATTTAGGTCAGTTCTAATTCGGTTTTTGTCGTATACGTTACAAATAGTGATGAGTGAATTTTGGATAATATGACGGACCGATATCGTGGGCCATGTAAAGACGTCAATTTGAGATTTTTTCAAAGGCTAATGGCTGGAGATCAAATGACACGGCTGCAGGCTTGATTAAAGCATTGCATGGCCATACCTCAGAAATATTAGAGACTCTTCCGCCAGTTTCCCAACAAAACTATGGTGCGCTTGTCGATACGTTAGAGCGTTGTTATGGAGATCAATACCGAAAGCAGCTTTACCACGTAAAACTAGGAACAAGGCAACAAAAGGCTGCAGAAAGGTTACAAGAATTTGAAACCGACGTCCGCCGTCTGGTTAATTTGGCCTATCCGCAAGCATCAACATAAATGCGAAAGGGTTTCAGAGGCAATCAATAGGAAATAGGACCAGGTAGCCATTTATCTAGTATGTATGACGTCAATTCAAGGGAAGAAGAGCCATGCATACATGAGGATAGATGTTGGATTTCAGGATGCCCGAGCGGTCTTAAGGCTCTGGGTTCCGTCAGGTCGCAGTCGACTTAGACGGGCATAGTGATGCTAGGCAAGAGAAAAGATTGAGTCATTATGGATCTGAATGGAATTATAGCCGAAGAGGATGTGTTGCGCCTTGATAGTCAGAT